TCAGCAGAACTTGCAAGCTCTGCTTAAAAGCAAATAAGAAAGACAGTGTCGAAAGGTGATGCAATGAAATTCATAAGATGATGAGAGCTTGCTAAAACAAATGGGTTACATCCAAAAACGTCCATCCAGTCTTAATAGCCGAATAAGATGAAGTCGGGAGGGCGTGCAGCATCCTCCAAAGAGGTGCCGCTTTTGCTTGTAGGGTACCTATCAAGCCTCCTCCCACTACTTTGTTTTGCTTACCTAAGCGATTAACGGAACAACGAATGCCAAGTTTGAACCCAAAGATAGTGAAGTCGAAACTAAATTGAAATAAGAACCATTTTCCACTTTCGATAAAACAACAAAATCCGTACACATTTGACTCATTAAAAATAAATTACATCAGCAGAAATTCCGTTTGAGTGCCTTGGAGGGAGGGCCAACAATCTATACTGAACGCAAATTTACATTTTAACATTTTAACATTCTAATTGAACAGAACTACTTACATAAGCTTCATTATCTATACATGTTTTCAAGAATTACGGTCAGTGAGGCAAATAGTGACGCGAGATGGCTTAGATAGCCCAGGTTACCCGAAAGCACAGATGGCAACCCTTGGAGGATCCTGCTATCCACCAAAAATCGCAACTTCAATATTGCCAATATGCGCTGTAAACAAGTGCGAAAAAGTGCACATCAGAACGACTAATGCATCAGACTCGATGCACTGCGCGACGGCTATATCCATCCCTGATCACCGAGGCAGCGACAAGAAAATAAGACCTCTGTATTGAACTCGCTTTTGCTATAAAGTTGCTCTGTGACCTTACAAGCTAGATCCATCGCAAATGAGAATCAAATAGTCGGAAATAATACGATGGTTGTGAAAATGATGGTAATATACAACCTAAAAATAACAATAATTAATGAACAAGTTTACAGCGCACCACTTTCTTTACTGAAGAAGTTGTTGTACTGGATCAGTTCTTTGTGAGAAAATAATGATGTTTATAAAAAAGAATTAATTTTGCTGAGAGGCGAGCAATCAAGACTACAGACTACGAAAGTTTTGAGTTAATTGGACTTCTGTAGTAATGTGGAAAGTATGAATGAATTGACTAACTGATTGAAAAACTGTCATAAATAGCGTAAGCATGTGGAAGTTTTTGATAGCAACTATTCAACATGCAGGAATGTTACAAATCTACGAAAACAAAAAGGATTACAAGAAACAAAGAAAAAACATGACAAACCTAAGAACGCGGTAAATAATTGATAAAAAAAGAATTTACACGTATAAAATCACCTGATCACGTCAAGCAAAAAATGAGTGAAGAAAGCAAAACGCGAAAGAAAGCTCACTTTGATTTTATCATTGTCTATCTTAACAGTTTTGATCATAAAATCAACACCAATAGTTGCGCTCTGGCCAGGAGGAAATATACCCTAAAACTGTGAGTTTCAAACAACAAAAAGGAGAGATAGTAAGTTCTTACCTGTGTAAATTTTCGAACAAGACATGTTTTCCCAACACCAGCATTTCCAACCAATACAACTTTGAATAAATATTTGTAGTCCTCCATCGGCTGAACTGAAACAGACGCCATCATGAAGGGCTTGTGGAATGGGAATGAATTCCGGCGCTATCAGTAAGGAATCAATATTCGATGCCAAAAAAAACAATTCTAGGGAATACGATTCAGCTGACCATTAGCACGAACCGCGTGCATATCGACACCAAAGCTGCGTCTGGCGACTGCGCTGGAGCAAGCGCGGCACACCGTAATTTTACAATTTTGGTGATGATAACCTGTTTCTTCTGCCTTTATTGAATTATAGCTTGGCCTCCGTGCAAATTGTGAGGTTGTAGTGTTATAATATAATATTTTGCAATAGATATTATTATAAAATACAAAATAAAACAATTGGAGATTAGTTAATGCAAGCACATGTAGTAGTAAA